TTGATTTGTATCCTTTTTCCCCTAGGCCGTCATGTCTAGTGATATTGCAATTGCGCAGTTCAAGTATTTGGAAAGATTACTTCTTGTACATGGACATTGGTGTTACCGGAGGATGTCACCAATGGTATTGCCACTCAAACTGGATCTCAGCATTCTATAGATTTAGGCCCTGAAGGATGTTCTGATCTGAAAGCTTTAATGGTTATATTAACTTGTTTATTCTTCTGGCAGATATGCTATTTTTTCTATAAGAACATCACATTTGGATTCACCCTATTCTTGTATGAGGTGTATGCATCATTCTCTGGACAGCCTGCATACAATGACTGGTTTTTGTCTCTCTATTGTGTCTTCTTTTCGTCACTTCCTGTAATTGCCCTTGGGGTCCTTGACCAGGATGTATCTGCCAGGTACTGCCTGAAGGTAAATTGTGTTTATCATCTAAGAATGTTTGTTTCAAATTCTCAAGCCCTTCAAATGGCCATTTCCAAAATGGAGAAGGAAACTGCAAAATTAAACAGAAATAAATAACCATGAATGATCAACCACTCAGCAGATAAAACAAGTTTACGCTCGTTTAAAATACTAACTTTGAAATGGGATTCCTAGGTGTTGTTAATGTCAGGAAAAAATTGCAACATGAAGGGGAAAAGCTAAGTTGGTCTAGCAGAAATCAATGCATAGCAGTTGTATAAATTTAAGCAAGAGTTTTGCTATCTTTTCTTTCCCTTTATTTGGTGAGTTTTATTGTTTCTCAGATATTAATAGAAACATGACAGCATATTAATACCTGTTTGGATCATATTTTTACCACCATATATGTTGGCAGTGCGACTAGAAATAAGGTCAAATTATAATATATAACTAAGGTGCAAAATTATAAGCCGGTTTTGTAGGGTTGAGTTAGGTTTAAAACCCATTCTATAATATGGTATCAGAGCCTATCCTAACGAGTTCTAAATGGATATTCTATTCTTCTATTCCACCTGTTATCGGTGCAAACCTCACCTTATAAACCGGCGTGATGACGAGGGAAGAACAGCCGGAAGGGATATGCTGGGCGTGAGAATGTATACTTGCATGGTTTGGGTGGTGAACTTGCAGATGGCACTTGCTATACGTTATTTCACCTTGATCCAACATATTTTTATCTGGGGTTCCATTGCATTCTGGTATCTTTTCCTTCTGGCATATGGAGCAATGCCTCCAAAATTTTCTACAAATGTTTATCAAGTCTTCATTGAAACTCTCGCCACATCTCCTTCCTTTTGGGCTGTGAC